TTTAGCAATTATTTTTTTCAGCTGAGCCGCCTATTTTTAGCTTGTGGCTTTTAGGAAAAAGCAACAAGATGCCTGGCAGAGCCAGGCAGCCCCTCACGAGGGATTCCCACGCTCCAGCCGGCCGGTGACCGGCAGTGCCGGCTCCGGGGAGGAGATGGCACCTCCATATGCTCGGTTATTCCTTCTGGATGCTGTGTCATTGCTGGTTTTGGGGAGGAAAAAGCAGTTTTTGGGGAGGAAAAGGCAGTTTTGGGGAGAGCCTGCTTGCCTCAGGGGGGATGCAGTGAGCTGGGATGGGCTCAGCTGTTGGGAAGCACAGGCAGCAGGAGAAATCCGAGCACGAATGAGAGCTTGGATAAATCCCTCCGTTACAATACCCAGCTTGGCACCTTTTCTGGACCAAAAAAAAAAACCATTTCCAGAACAAAAAAACCCTCCTCTGGACCAAAAAAGTCCTGGGTGATGCCCTGCCTGGTAGGAACAAGCCTGATCCCTTCTCTCCGCAAATCCTGGCTGCCCCAATGGGATTCACTCACTTTGCTACTAACTGGGTGAAAAACACTGGTGGATCAGGGATGGAAAATATGGCTTTTTCTTGAAATCAAGGAGCAGGGAAGCTCCTGCTTTCACCCCAAAAAGGAACCATTCTGGGTGGTGGGTGATGCTGCTTTTGGTCTCTGTGGCGAGGGAACAGCGAGGTTTCGCTCTGGCATCACTTTCTGTTTCATTCCTGCTTTTCCTTTCGGTTCAGCTGGGAGGTGTGGTGGGAGAGAGCTGAGAAAACACTCCCTGGGAGATGAAAAAAGTCTGGAGAATTGAATCACAGAATTGTTTAGGTTAGAAAAAGATCGATGAGTCCAACCGTTCCCCCAGCGCTGCCAAGGCCACCACTGACCCATGTCCCCAAGTGCCACATCCACACGGCTTTTAAATCCCTCCAGGGATGGTGAATCCACCACTGCCCTGGGCAGCCTATTCCAGTGCCTGTTCCTGCCTATTCCAATTCCAGCTGAGAGACAGGAGAGGGTGTTTTCCACAGGTTTAAAACTGCAGAGGATCACAGATGGGTGGGTAAACACTTCAGACCCCGAGAGACACAGGAGGTGTCTTGTGACATCCATGAAATCTCACTTGATGCCCTTTTGCACCTTCAGGAACGTAAGGAAATGCTTTCCAAGGATGCTGGTGTCCTATTTAGGGTAATTGCACTAATTAACCACTCTTAAAATCATAGAATCATGGAATGGTTTGAGCTGGAAGGGACCTTAAAGCTCATCTCATTCCAACCCTCTGCCATGGGCAGGGACACCTTCCACTATCCCAGGTTGCTCCAAGCCTATTCCAACCTGGCCTTCAGCACTTCCAGAGGGGGGGAAGTGCCATTTTTTTAAACATTTGTGAGAATTCTGATCTCCACCCACGTGCAAGTTGGATAAACCCCAAGTGAACGGCGGGGGGGGAAACTTCTAGGGGGGAGGTTGGGCTCAGATTCCCTGGGTTTGGAGCTGGAGCTGGCGACGGAGCTGGTACAAGGCACCCGGATTCCAGGATCCTCTCTTCCCAAGCCCTCGCTCCGCAGCCTTTCAGCGCAGCTCTGTGCAGAGCAGGCGGCAGCTTGTGCTGACGAGGAGCTGGCAAACGAAGCCTAATTACTGTTTCAAGCAGGGTTGGCAGCTCCGGGATGCCAGAGCCCCACAGGAGCCCAGTTTGGGAGGGAGGAGTGGGATGGCAGCTCGGCAGGAGGGCTCGGCGTCAAGAAATGCTCCTTTCGCAGCGGCTTTTTTGGGGTTTACGTGGCAGTTTCTGTGGAAATGCATCCAGAAATCGAGGTAGATGGGATTAACTTGCTGGGATTGAGCAGAACTAGTTCTTCCTTGGTCCGAAGCAATGTTGGCTTTGAACTCAGAGCACATTAAATCCCAGCCTCATCCCATCAAGCAGCAACTCACTGCTCCACATCCACATTTGTTGCTCCACATCACAGGTAAAAGCTGAAGATTTCGGCAAAGCTGGGTGGAGCAGACCAAGAGCTGACACAGCTGTAAATGCTGCATCAGTGCCCTGGGATCAGGGGTTTCCCTTGCTGTTTTCCCAACTAAATCCCAGTTTTTGGTGCCTGTTTTGCCCAGGTGCTGCAGGTAAAAGAAGAAGATGTTATTCAAATATGTCAATGGCTCTTCATTCAACAGGCAACAAAAAATTAGATTTTTGTTTTTTTTACAGCTTAGGTACCAACTAGTAAAAATTAGCAGCAAAACTTCCAAGTCCAGGCATTTGTTGCAAGTGCTTTTCGTGGAATCATGGAATCACAGAATGGTTTGGGTTGGAAGGGACCTTAAAGACCATCTCATTACACTCCCCTGCCACGGCCATGGACACCTTCCACTATCTCAGGTTGCTCCAAGCCCCGACCAGCCTGGCCTTGGACACTTCCAGGGATCCAGAAGCAGCCACAGCTTCTCTGGGCAACCTGTGCCAGGGCCTCCCCACCCTCACAGGGCAGAGATTTAATCCAAGCCAAGCTGCTGGAGCATCCTCCTCTCCTTCAAACCCCCAGTGCCTTCTTACCACTGATTGCAGCCAACCCAGCTACACCTTGGAAAGTAGGTAAATCCTCAAGCTGGAGGAAAAATGCCAACCAGAAAGCTAAAAATCACCCCGCTTCCCAATATTTCCTGATGTCCCCATTGTCACTGGCTGATCTCACACCCTCTGCTGCTGTGCTAAACCTTGCCTGCAATGAAAAGAGTTTTATGGTGCTCACAAGGGAGTACAAACAGTGTGCTTTTTCCCTCACTTAATGGCACATGTGCCTGGATAATGGGATTCGTGCCTTGGAGCCCACAGGTTAATGAGTCCTTACTCATTATTTTCTTGCTAATGATGTTTAACGTGTCCAGTACATGGATATTGTCTCTTTTGGGCTGTGCCACCGTAATTACAACTCGGGATCTTGGCAGGTTGTTTTGATACTTGTCTGTCGTGCAGAGGGGTCATGGGTTATTTAAGTGCACGTGGAAGGGGTTGAATTCATTTAAAGGGATGCAAAAGAGCTGGAGAGGGATTTTGGACAAGGGCTTGGAGGGACAGGACAAGGGGGAATGGTTTCCCACTGCCAGAGGGTAGGGTTAGGTGGGATATTGGGAAGGAATTGTTGGCTGTGAGGGTGGGGAGGCCCTGGCACAGGTTGCCCAGAGAAGCTGTGGCTGCCCCTGGATCCCTGGAAGTGTTCCAGGCCAGGCTGGAAGGGGCTTGGAGCAACCTGGGCTAGTGGAAGGTGCCCCTGCCCATGGCAGGGGCATGGAATGAGATGGTCTTTAGTCTCTCTTCCCACCCAAACCATCCTGTGATTCTATGATAAATCCAATCCAAACAAAAAGACAGGGAGGTTTGGGTTTACTCCCAGTGGCTCCACACCCTCCCGGGGGTACAGTGGGGTATCCTCACTTTGGGATCAAAAAACCTGCTTTTGTGGCTGCCCTGTTTGAGCAGCTTTGCTGCCACTTGAGAACTGCTAGGCTGTTGTGGGGTTGTTTTTTGGTGCAGGATATTCACGAGCTCACTCTGAAGTGTCACCTGCCATGTTTTTGTTATTCGAAGGAAACACACAGAGTGGAAATGCTCTGAAACCATCGCTGGCCCCAAAATGGTTTTAGTTTCTAGTTGAAGCATCTGCAGAGGGGCTGAGCGTGGCTGGGGTTTGTGGTGGCCCCTGGGAGGGTCCTACAAGGTGGTTGAGCTGCCCCTGAGTTCCCAACGTCATCTCAGCAGCCCTGGGACATCCCACCTCACACAGGTGTCCCTTCCTCCGTCTTGGTCTTCCCTAGCCTTGTTTTTGGGGGTATTTTCCACACTTAAGTGCCCTCAGGGATGGATGTAGTAAGAGAAGGGAGGGTTTCCTCGCAGGAGGGTGGCAGCAGGGTTGTATATATATAATTTTTTTAAGATCAGGGCTGTAGCAGCTGCACAGATGCTCCCAGCAGTCCTCCCTGCTCCCACGCCTCTTCCCTGACCTTAAACATGGAGTGGTTGAAGTTGTTGAAGTGACTCCCTGCCACTGGAGCAGCAACAGGTCCTCTGCATGAAAGGACACAACATAGAATTGTTTAGGTTGAAAAACCCTTCTAAGATCACGGAGTCCAACAATTCCCCCAGCACTGCCAAGCCCACCACTAACCCCTGTCCCCAGGTGCCACGTCCACACGTCTTTTGAACACTTCCAGGGATGATAATTCCACCAGATTAACATTTGCTGCGTTAGAAAAGTCCCTGTGGCATCCAACAGCATCTTGGTCGGTGGTGTCCTCGCCCCACCAGCCCAGTGCCAGAACCACAGCACACCGCCATCCACTCTTGCAGAGGGAGAACTGGAAGGAAAAGCAGGAGAGTTGTAACGTTGTACCCTGCTGCTCAAACTCCTCTCCAGCCAAAAAAAAAAACCACACACACACACAAAAAAAAGGCGGGAGAGATGAGATAAACCAGCGCGGAAACAGTGCACGGGCTCGAGCTGAACCCCGAGCGAAGGCGCAGAGCTTTGCCCGGAGAGAGCAGATCCAGCCGGGGGCTCGGGCTGTCGGGAGCCGGGGGGGATTTTGGCAGCATTCCCCGGGGGATGCTCCTTCCGTCCTGCCGCGTGCTCTGTGCACCAGACGGTTAAATCCATCCCCCCTCTCCCCGAGCATCCTCCATCCCGCGAGCTGGGGAGCAGCCACGAGCCTCGGCTGCCAGCAGCCCTCGGATGCTCGCCCACTGACTTGAAACCTCTTCCTGTGCCGAAAAACCTCGCCGAATGCAAACAAATGATGCCGCTGGGGGCCGTGCTCGCACGGCACGGGGCGGGGGGGGGCACACGGAAGGAAAGCCACAGCCTCTGTGCCAGGCACCGAGCTCGGCGTCTGCGAGACCGCCGGGGCTCCTGGCGCTGTAAATATGGAGTTGGGTGGCATCACTGCCACCTAACCCGGCTCCTTTTGATTCCGTATTCTCTTTGCTTGAAGGTGGTGAGCGGCCAAGAGGAGCAGATCTTCCCCTAGAGGCACAGATCAGCGGAGAGACCGGCTTCTGGTAAAAAATAACCTCCTTGGGGTCCCCACCGGGCACAGGGGGCTGGGGAGGGGTCTCATCCTCAAACCCCGGCACGACTCACTCTCTGAGCACAGGCACCAGCGCCAGGTTGATTTTTTGCTCCAGGTCCCATGATAAGCCTTGTCCAAACACCCTTGAGCTGGACATGCCCTCAGCTTTTCCTTAAAACATCACGATTCCCTTATTTTAGGGCTGTGCCATCCTTGTCCCACCCACTCAGGGGTCTCGCTGAGCCCTGCTGTTGCGGGACATCCCAAAAACCCCCAGCATTTTGGAGCTGGCAGCGAGCCCCAGTCAGGCAGGAGCACAGCTGTGCCTCTGCTGGAAAATGCTTGCTGCTTGTAAAAGCGTGGGCTGCCGGAGGAGCGGGACGCTGGAACTCTGGCCGGAGCTCACCGCTGTTAGAAGGTGACGGAAAAACATCCGTGACAGAGCCGGCAGGGACTTAATGAGCGTCCCCCCGCCTGCCTGGGGTGGAAATCTCGAGAAACAGGAAACTCCAGCATCCTGTTTAGCATCTCAGCGTTCAAATTGGCAGCAGGAACAAAGCGAGGGAGGCCAAGGGACAGCGGACTCACGCTGGGCACCGGCACGGGCTGGATGATGCGCAGGGAATGAGCCCGGCGAGGCACTTCGGGCTGCCGGGGGGGAGCCTGTCCTCTGACTTCCTTGTAGCTGTCACACAGGCTTTCATGGAACAGCAAAAGCCAAAGGACAGCTCGGCTGGGCTCCAGATGGTCCCAGTGGCCCCAAAGCTTGGCTCTGGGGACCATGGGGAGGGCACAGAAGAGGGCCACTGGCAGCGGGTCGCTGCAGCTCCCCGCCCTGGGTCTGCATCCCCCTTCCTCACACCCTCATTCCGATGGCTCTAACGCTCCCCATATGCAACCCCGGCACATAGTTTGGGGAATTTCAGGGCCCAAAGGCTGATCCACGTGTGTTCATGCCCACAGCCCCCCCGGGGAGCGTGCCTGGCCTGCCCATGGCTAGCAACAACACTGCCAGCATAGCGCAAGCACGGAAGCTGGTGGAGCAGCTGAAGATGGAAGCCAACATCGACAGGATAAAGGTAGGGAGGCTCAGGAGCTGGCTGGGGGATGCTCTGAGGCGGTGGCTGCTGCTGAGCAGCTGCCCAGAGCACATGGTGGGAGCTGGGAGGTGGTGCTGGGTGGTGTTTATGGCGGATGCTCTTCCAAGTGATCCCGATGGCTGTGTCTGAAGGCAGTGAGGCAGGGAGGTGCTTGCCCATGGAATTACAGAATCACAGGCTGGTTTGGGTTGGAAGGGACCTTAAAGCCCATCTCGTTCCAACCCCCTGCCATGGGCAGGGACACCTTCCACTAGACCAGGTTGCTCCAAGCCCCATCCAGCACTCCTAGGGATGGAAGGCAGCTGGAAGCATCACCTGGAGCCCTGCTGGGTGGGTGGGAAGGACTGACTGTTGCCAAGGCATCTCACCTCCTTGGGAAGAGGTTAAATCTAGGGAGAGAGGTGCTGCAGTGGCGGCCGCTGGCTGCAGGCACGTCTGGATGCAAGCAACACCTCACCTTTTGGGATGTGGTTGAGCTCCAGTGGCTTGGGAGCTGCTGCCATGTCCGGAATAAATAATGAGGTTGGTGACTGAGTGCAGCAAATGTTGCTGTAGCGGCCGTGGATGTCCCTGCTGAGGGTTTTGGGAGAGAGCCAGCAGGGATGCAGGGATGCTGGAGTCGGACCTTGCTATGGTCAGGTTGGGTGAAGGGTGGGAATGGGTGAAGGATGGGAAGGATGTGAATGGATAAAGGATGTGAAGGATGCTTTTGGGATCATGTGCTGACAGATGAGCTTAGAGCCCAGAGGTGAAGGACCAGCCCTGAGCACAGAGGTGAAGAACCAGCCCCACCAAGGATGTGCCGTCAGATCATTGGTCAGGTTCTTGTCGAGGGTCTGATGTTTCCTGCCCAGCCCTGCTGGCAGCATCTTTTTCCAGGTGGGATTTTCCCAGCACAGCCTGTCCCTAACGCAGGGCTCCTTCCATTGCAGGTGTCCAAAGCAGCAGCAGACCTGATGGCGTACTGTGAAGCCCACGCCAAGGAGGACCCTCTATTGACCCCCGTCCCGGCCTCAGAAAACCCCTTTAGAGAGAAGAAGTTCTTCTGTGTGATCCTGTAAACCCTCGAGGAGCCTGACGGGCACTCAGGCCACCCTGAACACTGATGTAGAGTTTTTAGGAATGGGGACGACCTGCTAGTCCGCAGAATTTAAACAAAAAATAAGTAAAATACACGGCCTGGAAGCTACAGAGATGTGCATGTTTTAAAGAACCTGGCCACCTTTGGGGGAATAAGATGATCTGCATTGTGAGGCAAAAGATCTGAAGTCTGTAGAGTTGCCTAGAAAGAGAGAAAAAAAAATATGTAAAGAATAAATATGTGTCACTTTTCTGCTCACAAAATCGTTTGATTGTTCCATATTCAAAGCACCAGAGCTGTGCTGAGCAAAGTAACTGCTAAGGATGTGTATAACCTTCTTGGAATGATATTGTTGGTTCCTTTCCAAACTAATATTTTTTATTTAAGTTGTCAGATATATAGCAACAGGTTAGGTGACTTATGATGTTACTCAGTGTTTGGTCTTGTGCTTTTTAATTTCTGGTGGTAGCACAGCAGGGGGGTTGAGTGGCCCCACGGTGGGTTTGGAGGGGACACTGGCAGCTCCTGCCTGTCCCCCACGTGCTGGCAGCTCCGTGTTCCTGGCAAACCCCACTTTTTTTACCATTTTGTATATGGTTAGCTTTGGTTCTGCAAGTAAAAGTGATTCATGTGTCGTGGTTGGTGCTTCATACCCCTGTGACGACGTTCGGTGGTAGTGCATGAGAGTTTGTGTCCGTTCATCCGCTCCAGACTTTTCTTTTCTATCATTTGGCTGGTGGAAGGAGCTGTAGGGAGGAGACTGAGGCGATTCTGAAAGCAAGAGAGAACTCCTGTGATGCCTTAGACGTGCCTGAAATACCTCCTGCGATAGGGCAGGTGCCAGAACCCGGGAGAAGGGGCTCGGGGTGGCCCCTGCCCCGGGCGTTGTGGGGTAGCTAAAAATCCGAAAGTCAAAGTCAACCACTCCTTTCCGGGTCTTTCCTTTCTCCTACACCTCTGTGCCTCTGCCCTCCTCGCTTGGTCCTGCTCTTTGGCTTCCCGGTAGTACCTCCTTCCCTTGGGGCTGGTCTGGAATGCTGCTCCGCGGTGGGATGTTGCTCCGTGGTGGGATGTTGCTCCATGGTGGGATGCTGCTCCACCATGGGATGCTGCTGCGTGGTGGGATGCTGCTCTGTGGTGGGATGCTGATCCACCCTGGGGTGTTGCTGCACGGTGGAATGATGCTTCATGGTGGAATGCTGCCCCATGGTGGGATGCTGCCCCACCGTGGGATTCTGCCCCATGGTGGGATGCTGCCCCACCGTGGGATTCTGCCCCATGGTGGGATGCTGCCCCACCATGGGATGCTGTCCCATGGTGGGATGCTGCTTTTTGGTGGGATGCTTCTGCCCCTTCCCACATCCACCGAATCCCATTCCCGCCTCACCACGTTGGGAAGGGGCAGGGGAGCAGCTTGGGGAGCTGTGGGGCCACCCCTTCATGGAGGTGCCTGATACCCTGTTTACACACAACCTGAGCTCCCTGTCAGGCTGGGGAATTATTCCCAGCTCCAGGGGAAACACGGCACCTTTTTGGGCTCTGCCTCAGGTTCATGCTTTCGAGGATGTGGCTTGTCTGTCCTTTCCACTGCTAAACACCTCCTGGCTTCCCCTGCTCTTCTGCACTCCTGGGAAACTTTGGGAATCATAACTTTGGGAATAACTAGGTGGGTGTCTCATGGGGACTTGGGGGGGTCTGTGGTGACCTTACTAAACTAGTTCTGAACCAGGTATCAGCTTAATCCCTGTGGATTCCAGAGGGCAATAGTCTTTAGGTACCTTTTGGTGACTCTTTCTAGCCCGTAACAAGTGCTTTTTGGTTTTTCTACCTTTTCATACTCTTTTTCTAGTCTTCTACGGAGAAGACCAGCTGTTCTTGACACTGGACTCAAAACCTTTGGCATCTGGGAATGTTTATACGCCACGAGTAGCGTAGATGGTCCCAGCCCTCCCACGGTGGCTTTTGGCCCCCCCTAACCCTCCAGTTTTGATCTTTTTACTACAGCTTGTGTAGCTTTAGGATGAAGGATGGATGAAGCCGTTTGCTCTGCAGCTGGTTTCGCTCTTGGTGTTACCAAGACATGTAAATACCCCATCCTGGGTTTTTGTCTTTTCTTTTTAACGCTGATTTACCGTCGCAGAGAGTGAAGCGCAGCCGGCCTGACCCGGGGCTCCCACCCCCGACCCTTCTCAAACACTGTCATAAAGTGGTTTGTAATAATTTTTTTAATGACTTGCGTATTTTACAACTTGAATTCTTAATAACTGAACGATGAAATAAACCTGCATGAAGAATATGGGGAGCGGGGGGGGGAGGGAATTTTGAATTAACCCCAAACTACTCATTGAAGGTGTTTTATGTTGCTGGGCTTTATTTTATGTTGGTAGAGGTGTTGACATTGGTGTGCTGCCAGGTATTTCACCCCAGTATTTATATTTACACAGATATGCCTTTGTTAGCCAAGTAGAGATCGCCTGCCAAGATCATTTTCCCTCCTCAACGAAAATACCAGCCATCCCTCCATCCCGATGCTGTATTTCCAGCGTGGTGTCAAATGACATTCGACCCCCAGGCTTTTAAAAGAAAAATATCTGGAGTACTGGAAAAGGACTTTTTTTTTTCTGTCTGCCAAGGTTGCTGGTGGCGGGGGAAATCCATTCCTTGGGTGCCAAACCTGCCACTGCCAGGTTTTTGGGGAAGGGGTGGTTGGGAGAGGAAGCCAGGGCGGGGAGGTCGGCGTCGTGATGTAGCGCATCCCCCATCCCACGTGGTCTGTGTACTCGTTGGAAATAAACTTTTGGATTTGTTTCAAGCCTTTGGAGATGATTCTCTGTGTGCGTGTCGACCTCTGGGGAGGTGGGTTCCCATCCTGGCTGTGCCTGGATCCTGTTTCCATTGGGTTTGGAGGGGGGCGTCTCCCTGACAGGAGTTTTGGTGCCTGTCTGCGAGGGAAAATGAAGCCTCTTGGGGTTTCAGCCCCTTCCCAGGCACAGCTTTCTGTTCCCAGAGGATGAGGCAGCTCAGGGAAGAACAGGCTCCTTCAGGGAGGGACATTGCTCCTTCCTCAGAAACTGAGAGGTACCTAAAATTTCTAAGTTTGTTGTCCATCCCTTCTTCCCTCTCTTTCCTTTTTCTCCCATCCCTGGCAGTCAGTACAGGCCTTCCCCAGTAATTTGGATGAGGGCATGGAGTGACAGGACAATGGGGAATGGCTTCACACTGACACAGGGCAGGGTGAGATGGGATATTGGGGAGAAATTCTTCCCTGTGGGAGTGATGAGGCCCTGGCACAGGTTGCCCAGAGAAGCTGTGGCTGCCCCTGGATCCCTGGAAGTGTTCCAGGCCAGGTTGGATGGGGATTGGAACAACCTGGGATAGTGGAAGGTGTCCCTGCCCATGGCAAGGGGGTGGAACTGGAAGATCTTTAAGGTCCCTTCCAACCCAAACCATTCCAGGATTCTACGATCCCATAATTCTTACTTGTTCCACTGCCAAAACACCTCCTAATCATAGAATCGAAGATACTCTGCTCCTACCAAATTTACCACACTCTGCACTTCCACTCCTGTTTCACAGGACTCTCACAAGCAGATGATTTCCCAGCAAAGCAGCTGGACACAGTTTGAGGCTGCTTGGCCTCAGCCCATCCCTGGGGCCGGGAACAAGGTGGCAGGATGGGGTTTGCAGTGAAACCCACCTGAGCCCAGCACGGATTCCAGTTTTCCATGCACATTCCGAACCTGTCAGCGAGCAGCAAGATGTTGCCCAACCCCGAGATGCTGGAAGTGTCCCCCCTCTCTCCTGCGCTGTCAGGGCTCAACTCTCAGCCTCCTCACCCTTCTCTGCATCCATCAGAACAGCTTGAAATGGAAACGGTGTCACTGTGAAGGAACAAACCAACTGTCTCCTGCTCGCTGTGCCGAGCCAGGCAGCTCAGCTGCTTCACACCTCGCTGGCTCCCCTCCATCTCCAAGGCTCGCCCTGTTCCATCCTCACTCCGGAGCAGCAGCATCTGCTGAGCTGGAGGAGGTGTGGAGCATCCAGGGAGAGCGTGGGCGGGATGCTGCTCCCTGCACTCCTCACTGCTGCCCATCCCCACACCGGCATCAGGCCCTGGGCGGCTCCCTAATGAGAACAAACCCATTTGCACTAATTGCATTCATTAGCTCTGCAGCGTGGAGTGGGGAGAGGAGAAGCACTGCAGCTGCTGGGCATGGATTTGCCCTGGGTGTTGCTGCAGGAAGGGTTGGACCCCCCAGGGAAGGGGATGATCCCCAAATCCAGGGTGAAACGGGATGAGGTAGGAAGGGGAAGGGCTGTTCTGAGGGTGATGAAGGCAGGAGAGGCAGAGGAAGGGTGGAGAGTGGAGTTTTCACTGCATCCATCCCTGGTCCTCCTTGCTGGGGTGGACAGTGTGTGACACTGGTGTGGCTGAGGGCACCCTGGGTACAGTCCCAAGCTCCTTTTATCCATGCTGGAGTCTTTGTGCCTTTACTGTCGCTTCCGTGTCACCTCTTACACACGTGTTGGTGACACGCTGAAGCCCTCGTGGGCTCCAGGTGTGAGGTCAGAGAGGGACCTTCCATCAGGAACTGCAGTGACAGGACAAGGAGTAATGGGTTCAAACTGGAAGAGGGGAAATTTAGGTGGGATTTATGGAATTCTTCCCTGTGAGGGTGGGGAGGCCCTGGCACAGGTTGCCCAGAGAAGCTGTGGCTGCCCCATCCCTGGAAGTGTTCAAGGCCAGGTTGGACAGGGCTTGGAGCAACTTGGGATAGTGGAAGGTGTCCATGGCCCATGGCAGGGGGTAGAACGAGATGGGCTTTAAGGTCCTTTCCAACCCAAACCATTCTGGGATTCCATGATTCCATGAAAGCTGAAGGATGAAGCGATGACAGGGAGTCCCTGCCCTCCTTAAACCGCTCCAGGAACAAGCCGGAGGAGATACAGCGGATGAAAGAGGAACGATGTTAAAGGGAAAGGGAGGCAGAAGCCCCCCAGGTTCCCCCAGGGCTTGGGAGTTCCATGGAAGGGGGGTTGGCCCATCCCTGTGCCACCCTGCCATGGCGGCACCGCAGCCGGGGGCTGCCAGCTGGAGCGCTGGGAAGGGCTGGCACGGAGGGAAATGTCAGGATGAATATTGCATTGGCTCGTCACGCTGTCAGCACCACGTCTGCAAAGTGCCACCCCGGCCTGAAGAGGGAGGGGAGGACGGGGGTGGGCTCACTCTGAACCGGAGCTCATCACCTTCTCCAGGGAAAAAGCACCCAAAAAACCCCATTAAACTGGCATCCTTCACCTGCCGGTTCCCCAGTGCTGCCCAGTACAGCTCAGTGCTTCCCAGTTCTTCCCAGTACAGCTCAGTGCTTCCCAGTTCTTCCCAGTACAGCTCACTGCTCCCCAGTGCTGCCCAGTAAAACGCACAGCTCCTCCCCAGTGCACCGGTACAGCACAACGCTCCCAGTGCTGCCCAGTACAGCTCCCCAGTACAGCACACTGCTCCCCAGTGCTCCCAGTACAGCTCAATGCTCCCCAGTGATCCCCAGGACAGCTTCCCAGTACGGCTCCCCAGTGCTCCCAGTACACGTCCCCAGTGCTCCTAGTGTGGCTCCCCAGTGGCTCCCAGAGCTCCCAGTACAGTTCCCCAGCACTCCCAGTACAGCTCCCCAGTGCTCCCAGCGCTCCCAGTACAGGTACCCAGCATTCCCAGTACAGTTCCCCAGCGCTCCCAGTACAGTTCCCCAGCGCTCCCAGTACAG